TCGAAGTGCAGATTTCGTGGCAGGCACAGCACTTTGTGAACCTCGAAGTGCAGATTTCGTGGAGGCGTAGCACTTTGAGTACCTCGAAGTGCAGATTTCGTGGCAGGCACAGCATGGTGAACCTCGAAGTGCAGATTGCACACGTTGCGCTGCCTTTGAATCTTCGGAGCGCGAACAAGAAGCTACGAACGGGGTTCCTGGCCATACTACTATGGGAGCAAGGACGCTACTGGGGGCTCCTGGCATCGCAACTAGGAGCATTCTTACTACTAGTAACAAGATTGTGTGCCACACGAGTCGAACTCATTCGAAATGCCAGAAGCTCCAGCGGGTTGGCTTCAGTGACCAGATGGAGGTCGACTTGGCTGGTGCTGGCTTTGAAGTGGCCATAGTGTTGCTTGGTTAAGACGGAAACTGGATCTTGGGACAGGTTTGGCCATTGCTACTCTACTAGTAGCTAGTAGCTCCTGGCCATACTACTAGGAACAAGAAACTACTAGTAGCAAAGGGCATCGCTACTGACTAGGAGCAAGAAACTTTTAGGTTGGAGGCCATTGCTAGTAGTTTTTGTTTACATGTAGAAAAATAAAGAACATGTCTGCAGTTGCTTGAGGATTGGTGGCATCATCCTCGGAGGGCTGGTGGACAGGAACAAGCAATACAAGGTCCTTGAATTTAGAACAAAAAGAATTATCTAAAGCTCTAAAGAAGAAAAACACGTTCAAAGCAAAAAAACAAGAAACACAGAAATAAACAACAAAGACTTCGTACTCGCTATTAATACGTGCTGCATCAACTTCACCCAGTTGTCCCAACCATACTTTGAACATGAGTTTGTGCTGCAGGTCTAATAGCAACGGCCTCCAACCTAAAAAGGATTGCCTCCAACCTAAGAGCGATGGCCTCCAAAGATGGACATGTTACTAGTAGCTTCTTGCTCCTAGTAGTAAGGCCAGGAGCTACTAGTAGCGTCCTTGCTCCTAGTAGCGATGCCCTTTGCTCCTAGTAGCTAACCTCACATGGATATAACATTTAATCCCAAATCCACATTGCACCTTTAACCATTGTTTTCTTCGACACACACACACACCAAGTTTACTCTATGCCCAAACTTTCAGAATGGCAGCCCAAAGGATGTTGAAGCACTGTATGCGAAGCATTTTCATCGAGGGCGCGTAATCTTCAAATAAATCTTCGATCACGAAGCACTGCACTAAGCTCACTAAGCACTGCGCTCAGTCGGTGACTTTGTGGTGCTTGGCTGCTACGCTAGTGGGAGTTCTTCTGTGGACCCGGCACTGGTTTGGTTAGAAATATAGGCAGTTGACATTTCATGGTACCTTTTGTTACAACAGTGAGTTTGGACAGGCTTGGCTTGGAATTTCTGCCAAGGAGTTCTAAAAACGAGAACACTTAATGAAGGTGTGTTACAGCAAGGACACTTATGTTCCGATTTCTTAAGGAACTGGTATGTTGGAGGCCATCACTAGTAGGTTGGAGGCCATTGCTTGTTGATTTCTTAAAGAAAATATGGGAAAACTTACAATGACTAGTCACTTGTAGTCACTTTTTTGTTGAAATGACTCGAGGAGCGCAGCGCTGATAGCCCTGCTGGCGATTGGAAGCTTTGCAGGGCCGGTGTTTGCCTTAAACCAGACACAGGAGACCGTACTACTAGGAACAAAGAAGCTACTAGGAACAAGTGCATCGCTTCTAGTAACAAGTGCCTTACTAGTAGTAACAATGTTCGCTACTAGGACCAAGTGCATCGCTACTAGTAGCAAGGTGCCTTACTACTAGGAACAAGAAGCTACTAGGGGCGGTTCTTGTCACTTTAGAAGACACAGGAGACCGATGACGTCGTTGAGTCCGGTCCAAGACCTTTCTTTTTAAAGGGTGAGGGGGGTAGGTCGCTAGGTAGATAGAGGTAGCTAGTAGTAGCTAGGTAGTTGCTAGTAGTCAAGAAGTAGCTACTAGCAACTGGATGCAGGATAGCGCTCGCACTAATCATTTGGTTCATAGATGTTTAGTTTAGGCAAACTTAACCCGGAGGCTCTCTAATCTGAGTGAGTTTGGAAGTCAAGACAAATCCAAGTGCTGGAAGCGGAGCCTAGGCCTAGGCGCGAGCGTGAGTGTAGAATGAAACGTGTTTGCTCAGAAGAGTGCTGAGAACTCTAGAAAAGAGTTATATAGACAAGTAAAGCCGCAGAAAAGTACACATTCGTAGAGTCGTAGAGAGCAAGCAGTACTGAAGAGTAGAGATTGCTAAAGAAAAGAATGGAAAAGCAGAGACAATGGCAGTTCTGGATTCTGGAGACATGTTCACTGAAATTGAGATTCTAAGAGACAAATATCGACAAGTAGACTATCCTTTTGTGAAACGTCCTTCTGAAAGGGTAGAAAGTTCTACAGGACAGAAAAGGGCCTGAAAAAGGCGTCCTAGAAGCACACATTGGACACGACGAGATTACCAGAGACAGCTTTTGAGAGAAAAGAATTGACATTCATGGAGCAAAGTGCTAGAAGTGTAAGTGCTGGAGAAAAGGTAGAGATTTGTAGAGGAACATCCCAACATTCAGAGGCAAATTGATTCCTGGACACAATATGGACTACTGGAGAGCTGGAGAAAAGAAGAGAAAAACCGAGACTCCTAGAATAGACTCAAAGTTCCCTAAAATCTAGGAAACAAATCACTAGTGCGAGCGCTTCTTCAAGGAAGCTCCCCTGCGCCCTCAGGCGGGGGGAGCTTCCTTGAAGAAGGGCGAGCTATCCTGCGTCCAGTTGCTAGAAGCTAAAGTAGCTAGGAGCGAACTTCTCCCTTTCTTAATTACGAAGGCGCCTACTTAATGAAGTAGGAGCGGGCTTAAAGAGAACAGTATAGAGTATAGAAAAAAGCACAGTTTCCTGGAGAGAAGTTCTGAAAAGTCAAAGTATGTTCTGAACATAAGAGTGCAGAAAACCATCAATTTCTGCAGAAAACAATCGACCTAGTCGTTCTAAAGCACTTTTAGTTCCAAGTCCCTAGGGGCAACTTATTGAATTTGATGGGTTCCTTTCATGTCTACAGATGATGCCTAGAAATAGCCGTAAAGCATGCTGTCTTGACGTTTGAAACGTATAGGAAAAGCACCCCCTTTGTTACTAGTAGTTTCAAAGACATACTAGTAGCGATCAAAGACATACTAGCTTTATTGTTACTAGTAGCGATGGCCTCCACCTAATAGCGATGGCCTTCAACCTAGTAGCTTCTTGCTCCTAGGCCACTCCACGTCACCACATTACACCACACCACACCTCTTTTCGCCACATGACAAGCCACCACACACCACACCACATCACACCTGACATCACATTGGACGTCACCCCAACTTTGGAATAGATTACTTCCGTTTGGAACTCCCAAAACCTGCAATTGTTTGCAGGTGTGTCTGGTAGTAGCAAGTGGTAGTTCAGTCTTGGACGGAAGGCTTCAAGTAAACTTTGTTGTTGCCGATGTTGAGGCAACATAAAAAACCTGTTCACCCAAAGCCTCTTGTTCAAGAAGCCTTTTCAACCTAGTATCAATGGCCACCCTACTAGCGGCCTCCAAGGTCCAAGACACGGCACCAGGCAACTACTCACCTAAGTCCTAAAGGCCTGTTTTGTGAAAGCGTTTTGTGCACCCCTGTTGCCATGGCGAGTTTTTAAGCCAAGACACAGAGTAAAATAGTCGAAAGTTGCCGGTATAAGAAGAGCTTTCCTTTTTCTTTAGAACTGTTCTTTTGGGGACTAGTATACTAGTATATGACAGTGCATACATCCCTCTCTCTATATATATACATATATGTAACAAATAAACTCCTCTTTGGGGGCATTCGTGGCTGTGGAGAGGCTAGAAAGCTAAAGAAGCTACTAGCTGGGATGCGCAATCTTCATTGAAGAGTCCTTCGCACAATTGGCTTGTTTCCTCGATTTTGTGGGAGAGTTAACAAATCTGGAATTAAGGTGCAGCCCATCAATGCTGAGTTGGCAGTGGAGGCTGAAGTGGGCTGCGTAATGGCCTAGTGGTTTTCGAGGTCGAGCCATCTATGTCTTGTTACACTACCAGGCCACCATTTCCTGGAAAGAACCTGCCTTTTCTACTCAGCATAAGCAGAAACGAACCGAAAAGGAGTTGCAACTCCGAAAGAGTGCAGGTGACCTATCCTTGTGACGAGAACGCCATTGAGGCAGTCCAGCAGCTCTGCGGGAATCTGGCCAAAGCCCTAGATGATCTAACTAGTATAGCGAACATTGTTACTACTAGTAAGGCACTTGTTACTAGAAGGGATGCACTTGTTCCTAGTAGCGTCCTTGTTACTAGTAGCGATGCCAGGAGCCCCTAGTAGCGAACATTGTTCCAAGTAGTAAGGCCAGGAGCCCCTAGTAGCGTCCTAACTGGGCAAGTGTTTCATTGTGCCTTATAGAAAGCATTTCTTGACAAGTTCTCAACACTGAAGGCTTTTATTGCAGTGTCGAGTAGGAACTATTCCGAATCATATTTTTGAGTGACTTATTTCTCAGAGAAACAGGTCCCTATGAGGAGCACTATTTTTATCGGTGACAGCGTTGGATTTAAGTCTAGCCTGCCTAGATACTTCTTATCAGCCCGTGAAACAAGTCCAGGAAGCTCCCGTGTCACGAAGGGTTTGACCTTATTTGGAGAAGGCTTTACATGCCCACAGTCTTCATGTTTGTGGCAATGTTTCAAGTCTGCTAAAATAGCTTTTTAGCAAAGAAATGTGTCAGTTTCAGTACGAGCCCCCCAACAAAAACTATAGGAATTCTGGACAACTCTCAGGTGCTAGTTGGTTACTTACCGTGGTGAATTCGAAGCAACATGTTTCTTTGCATTGAAAGGAACATGTTTGGCAAATGTCCGTTTTGTTAACCAGACAGAATTTTGCCAAAGACAAAGTGAACTTCATACATGTATATTTGTCCCTCCACCCTTGGTACATGTACATGCCGCAAGGTCTCTGCTCTTCTCGTACCAATTTGTGAGTGGGCCGCAGAGAACAAGCTCACCATACCAGGCATCTCCGGCTCTCTTGCACAGTTGTAGGAGTTTGAGATTGAGGTGGTAAGATTCTGGCGTGTCGTTTATAAATGAGCTCATTTCTGCCGATTGCTTAACAAGATGCTGGACTCTTGTCCCAATACCCCGAGTGTTACTGTGCTGTTCCTTTGATAGCGATGGCCTCCAACCTACTAGCGTCCTAGGACGCTAGTAGCAATGCCAGGAGCTACTAGTAGCGATGCCCTAGTTACTAGTAGCGATTGCATCGCGAGAAAGTGTCAACAGAGTTTATCGAGGGGCCACTGCAAGGGTCGGTAGGATCATGGGCAAGAGGCCCCTGAGAATTGTGTGCAAAGCTAGGGCGTGCCGGCGGACAGTGTGACAGTGTGACATGGAGGGAAGTGTTTGAATTCTTTTTGTTTCTGTGGAACAAGAAGCTACTAGCGACAAGGGCATCGCTACTAGGAGCAAGGACGCTACTAGGGTTTTCTACCTGTTGCTTCTGTAGCTTTTGGCGTTTGTGGCTTCTGTGGAGCTGGCTTTGGGCTTCCGGTTCTTCTGTGATACCAAGAACAAAAACATTTGAGGTTAGAGTCAGATGTCCGAATGACACTGCTAAATACGAGGCTGTGGGAGGCCAGCGCTAGTAGGTTGGAGGCCTTTGCTACTAGGTTGGAGGCCATCGCTTAGGTTGGAGGCCATCGCTAATGGGTTGAAGGCCATTGCTTCTAGGTTTGCTTTACAATTGAATGCGGGTTTAAGATGAAGCAGGAAGGCCTACCGACTTCAGAATAGAGAGGTAGCCAGCATGGCCTCCAACCTAATAGGGACGGCCTCCAACCTAATAGCGATGGCCTCCAACCTAATAGCGATTGCCCCCAACCTACTAGCGATGGCCTCCACCCTAGTAGCGATGGCCTCCAATCTACCAGTGATGGCCTTCATTCGCAGGATAGTTTCGCCATGATACTGTATTATCCGAGTCCAAACGCCATTGGTTGTCAGCTTTCCAGTCATTCCATGTCATCCTTTATCAAGCACTTGAGGAAGACTGAATAGAGTCAACCCCACCAAACCTAATTGAAACTTGTTATTGTTACTAATTAGTAGCAGTAGTAGCAGCAGGAGTCAGGATCAGAGCAATAGAAAACTAAGCTTTTTCTCAAGCAAGGCTCCAAGTTGGAGCATTATACAATCCCCCCCCCTAAACAACTGATATAATTCTACTTCCCCTGCGCACAAGCAACACTTTAGCTTTTTCAGTGGTTTGGTCTAGGAGGTCTAGCCATAATATAGCGCTCGCACGGTCGCCATTTGAAAGACTGAATTACTGTATGCTGCAAGTACCAAGAAAACGAGCAGACCATATACAACAGGTGCTTCTTCGAATTTTGCACTTCCAAGCTTTAAGCTGCACCGCTTGTGGTTTACAAATCCATCATTTGGGTGCATTGATCAAACTTGAAGCTTTTGCAATCGGAAGGAAGCCTTTGAAATAGCATGCGCTCCCGAGCAGAAGTGGCCCTCTTTCGGTTGCTTTATGCGCCCGGCCAATGAAGAATTGACACGAGTTCACTCCCAAAACCATAGCGCAACCCCTAAGCAAAATAGCTCGCTATTAGATTGGAGGCCGTTGCTACTAATTAGTTTTTTTTGCCACTGAATTCTAAAAAACATAGCACTCCACAAAAATGTTGCTTCGGTTCTTTCGGCACACCTGGGAAATCAGGTCTTTCCTGGGGAAGCGGTGGGTGTTTAATTTGTCAAATGCCCAAAAGATCCAAATGATTAGTTCTTTTTGTTGCCAGTGGCCAAGTGTGACTGCTCGCTGTTCTTTTGACTATCATTTCATTTGTCTATGGATCGGATAGCAAGTAGCAACATGCAATCCCATTCAATTGACAAATTGGTGACTTGCCGAGCTCGCTTATGGATTGTGCATATCTCTTGACAGAAGATCGCTGATCCAATGTAGGCGTTGATGCCTATCTGCGTGGCGATACCTTGCTACTACTGGCCATCCTGGTTGTAGTTTCCTCCTTGGAGGTTGCGGCTGTGCATTTTGTGTAACAAACATCAAGCATGGAGCTGCTTTGGAACTTCGTGGAAGGGCAGCATTTTTCACCAGGCACCCTGCAAGACCTGCTGAGGTTTCAGTGTATTTCTCCACTTTCGACGCACCACTGCGACGAACCGAAGTGGATCAGGCAGTTGCGAACCTTAATAGCAATGCCTCCAACCTAATAGCATCCTTGCTCCTTAGTAGCGATGCCCGTTGTTACTAGTAGCTTCTTGCTCCTAGTAGTAAGGCCAGGAGCCCCTAGTAGCGTCCTTGCTCCTAGTAGCGATGGCCTCCAACATAGAGTCGGTTTGTTTCTACCCTGTGCCCAGGGGAATTGCGTCACTGACGACGGTGAAACGCCGGTCGGAAGCCCGGAGAAGTTTGATTGAAAGAAGGAAGAAAGAAGGAAGAAAGATCTAAAGGGTTGCCAGAAAGAAAGGACAGACGAGTTGGTATGCAACGAAACACAACATAACACATGTCTTTTTTTGGTACCCCTTTCAACCTTTCATCTCCTTGTTTCTTTTTCAAAAAGCATGGGCAGTGCGCGTACGGGATCGAGTTCGAAGGTCCTTCGGCCTCGTGCAGAGTCCGAGAGATCCGGCTGAGAGGAGACATAATACAGAATACATACCATTTAAAGCTTCTAGTAACAAGTGCCACGCTACTAGAAACAAGTGCCTTACTAGTAGGAACAAGAAGAATTTAATTAGAATTGTAATTAGTAGCTTCTTGTTACTACTAACTAGTAAGGCACCTGTTACTACTAGCGTGGCACTTGTTAATACATACCATTTATATAAATACATGTTTCTAATAGCTTCTTGTTACTACTAGTAAGGCACCTGTTACTACTAGCGTGGCACTTGTTAATACATACCATTTAAATACATGTTTCTAATAGCTTCTTGTTACTACTAGTAAGGCACCTGTTACTACTAGCGTGGCACTTGTTACTACTAGCCATTTAAATACATCATCACTATTTATACCATTTATTTAGCCCCTAGTAGCTTCTTGTTCCCACCTGCGTTTCACGGCGAAAACGGCATACGATTGATCATCCATGGCCTCCAACCTACTACAGCGATGGCCTCCAACCTAGAAGCACTGGCCTCCAACCTATAATCGATGATACATATCCATGATGATTCCATTACAACGCAAAATAATTAGGAGACCAGAACATGTATGGACAATTTCACCCAAGGAGTTATAGAACGGGCTCGTGACATGATTCAGATGGAATTTTAATTCGGATATTTTCGACGACCACGCTCAGAGCTCTGAGCTCGTCCAGTTCCTTGCAATGCGTTGAAACCGGTTGATCCACCTCCCCTTTCTCGGGGTTGAATCCTTTGGCATTTCGTTTTGCTTTCGTTTCCAAACAAAGGCGTTGCGGCATTGCAGCTTTGCCTAGTTTGCCGCGGATCTCTTCCGCATGTCAGCTTTTCCGCTTCGAAGGGCAAGGGGCACCATGCCCTTCAGCCAATGCGCATTTGCCCTCTGGCTAAGATCATCGAAAAAACTCCAAGGAATCAAGGAGAAAAGCTTGGCTCTTCTTGACGTCTCTTGCAGGTACTGCAAGAGATCAAAGGGTAAGGGCGGGACCCTAATTGACATGTGGTCATTACTACGTCCATTGCATTTTTTCTACATACCGGAGTGACCTTCTCCAAAGGACGCAAGTTACCGAAGCGATTTGTAACAAGTGCATCGCTACTAGTAACAAGTGCATTCCCACTAGGAACAAGAAGCTACTACTAGCGATGCCCTTGCTACTAGTAGCTTCTTGCTACTAGTGCACTTGTTCCTAGTACCCTTTTGCTTGCACGGTAGCTGACATCTTTCTCCAAAGGACAGGAATGGCCACTTGGAGGTTGCTGCTCCAACGGAGCCGTCTTTCAACCACATTCCCAATGCTCAACATTTTAGGTCGGTCTAAACAAGAAAAGGAAAACTTTAAAAGGTGTTGTATTTCTTAAGCAACTTTGTTGTTGGCAGATTGCCAGAAGAGCTGTTTTTGACAGCAAGAGGTCTTTTGTCAGAGTCGTTCTTCTCCAGGCTTACACATGGAGAGTCGAACGAGCGGCCTGTTTTGGTGATAGTGGGACCTAGAAAGACAAGAAGCAACAAACAAGAAGCATGTGTGACGAAGGAAACTATATTTTTCACAGTATGACAAAGCGACAAAGCAGAATAGGAGAAAAATAGCAAATTCATAAAGAAAACACATAGAAAAAAATCAATAAGAAAACAACATGTCGAGTTTTTTTTTGATTGATTAGATTGAATTCCTTTTGAGTCTTCAGTCTTCGCAGCATTGAGCTTCATTTGGTGGATCGATGCTCCATCGACCAGGCTCGACCAGGCCATCGTAGGGCCGTAGGGTATTCAAAGAACTCTTTGTGGCCTGGAAGCCTGATTGAAGCCACTTTTTGAGGCCTTGGCGATGGATGAGTGGCTTTGGTGAAAAAGGGACTGCTTAGAACATGATCAATATTGAACGAAGAAACCATCCTTCTGTATTTTAACAATTGTGAATTGGTTGCTTTACTCGATAGTCTTCTCAATTTTGCGCTGAACACTCAGGTCTCAGCCAGCAAGCTTGAAGTTTGCTGAGAAATGGCGGCAAGCAAGTCAGACTCTCAAACCAATCAAGATAACCGTGTATATACACTCTTGTTTTCTCTTTACCAACTTCTGTACGTGCATTAGGCACTGTGTCATTCTGTGTTGTACTGTATATATTAACCAAGTTTCCACAAACATCTAGGAACCAAACAAAAAGGAAGCTCCCCCGCCCTCAGAAGGGGGACTTGATTGAAGAAGCCTCAGCTTTCCTGCACTACTTAAGCTTACTAGCTTAATTAATTACGTAAGACGTAAGCCTACTAGCGGCCTACCCCTTCAAAAAGAACAATGTTTTTTATGCGTTTACTCTTTTTTGTTGCTTCTATTATATTCGAAGCCTTGGTGTTGGTGGATCATCATCGCTCTGCGTGAAAATCAGGCCGGAGCGCCTTTGATCCATCGCCAGTGGGTGTTTCCAAACAGGAGGGAACGTGCCTCGATGTTTTTCGAAACAACATAGAACACATCATTTCCGAAGCGCAGACAAATATTGTTGTTTTCATCATATCCTGAAGAACGGGTAGCAGTTGTGTTGTTCTTTCTCCTGTATTTCTTTCATTGGATCTTTCTATAGACAATAAAACTTCCAGATAATTTCAATTTTTGTGTTCGAAATGTTTCTGCAATGGACTTAGAAGGCCTTTTGTGCTGAATCCTAGAGCAAGCAGCAACAGCCGAACGGTGCAGCATGCTGAATGCACAACAAACACACTCACTCGCACTTTTATCCCGTACGGGCAACCGCATTGATTTGTCTAATGAAAGTGAAGCATCAGAGTTAGTTCAGGAACGAGGAAGGCACTCCCTCAAACACAAGATATGTTCATTAATCATCATGTATTGCCGTGCTACAACAAAAAGATCTAAGCACAATGGGATCCCTCGAGCAAAATAAAGCAATTCAGTTTTGCAACCAATAAGTTGGAAGGGCACATGAAGATACAGAGAATCAGTGGCCTGAGGGACACTGAGGGAATCAAACATAACACTGGCAATCCGTCAATACGAGTGCGTCATCTAAACCAACAATAGCGTTTGCACGTCTCTAGCGCCAAGGCCCTCACGTGAATTCAAAGATTTCTAAGGAATTCAATTAATCTCCAAAAATGGCCTCCACCCTACTAGCGATGGCCTCCACCCTAATAGGAATTCTATGAATCATTATGTTTGGAGTTGGAAAGCGTCTCTTCCGCAGAAAGTCCCAAACATTAACCGCCACAAGTGACCCCACTCACCGTCCCACTAAAAGGTGAAAGCACTGATGGTGCAACTTCCGCACGGCACAGCACGTCCGGCAACAGTGTGTCGAGACAGGTCCTATCAGGCCAGGATGTGCCTTCAGTAGCCTCCGAAGACTCCAAACCTCACGTGAGACTCGCCTGCTCTAGTTGCTTGTGCTGAAGTGAAAAGGCAACAAAGGAACAATGCCAAAGTAACCATTTGGTTTTGTTGCGTGTACAACTCAAGCAGCCCAAGCAGCCTGGGGTTCAAGACGAAAAGGACACATGGTCATGGTCCAGACTGTTCCGATGATTCAATGAGAAACACAGTAGCAACAATGCAAGCATGGATTTCAAGCATGTCTAAACACCATTTTTATTATCGAACCCAAAGTGCTGCAAGGTGCAGCAGAGCCTGTGATTTCCAAATCAATGAACTTTGAAGGAAAGCATGATGAAACATGTGTGCAAAGCTTGATCCAAGAGCATCAAGAGCACTTTGCGGTTGCAAAGTTTTGTGCCTTTCCTGCTTTTGGTCTTTTGTTGCAGGATCTCATCGCTCTTTCCCCAGAACATGGGCGATTATCGAACCTTGGCTTGAGTTGAAACATCACCCTTTCCGCCCGTGTCAAGATGCGCATTGATTCTTTTTGAGTTGTTATCACAACATGGTGCTCGTCTAAAGGACAATTTGCTATTCTGCAATTTCACCATTTTGTTGCCATAAATTGAAGTGTCATGTTTTGTCGTGGCTTAAGCAACATTGTCAGTGGACGACCACAGGTAGAGCATTTGGGCGGGAAGGTTTTGGGATCATACCCAATACCAACTAATTATGCCTCGTCATGGCCATGTCATTTCCATAGTCATTTACATCTTCATCATTCAATCATCCATTCCGCCTTTTTCTTGTGGCAACCAGAGTGTCAATCAAACAACTAAGTGTTTCAACCAAGATGTTCAAGCAAAGTCTTTAACACACACACATGGTTAGGTCAACCTGTGCATAGACCATTGGCAAGGTTGTCCTGCAACACCACAGATGTGTCTATGGGGAAACAACATCTTCAATCAATGTGCGGAAACACGACGCACACTCCTGGCATCGCTACTGGGAGCGTTCGGACGCTCCAATGCCGGGTAGAACGCTACTGGTCCGAGGTGCGAACAGGAGGACTGGAAAAAATGGGGGCCGTACGTTTGACACTCAGATTGGTTGTGAATTCAGGCCATTTGAGATGTCCAATGGCGAGAATCTTTCAAAATTCATTCACTGAGAGTTGCGAGGCATTTTGTACTATTTTGTTGTTCACTTTGCAACTGTTGCACCGCTGCTTTTTTCAATTGACAGACCCGCCAGGTGAGCGAACGCCACTGGGGAACCTGTCGTTGGAACCTTGTAAAGTGAATTCTGTGGTCACATGTGGTCACATTGCTCCATGAACTTCTCACAGGTGAGGATTATGCCGGCCATGGGAATTCTTGGATATATTTGCCATTTGAGGCGAGACGATTTTATTTGTACATGACCCATTGTGTTGCCTTTTGGTGTGAGGCATCGCATTATGTGGCCTACCGTTGGGGAGAGGATGCAAGTGCCAAGAAACAACTCAGATTGATGATGTGTTTGATATGGAACTGCGACAGTTTGGACTTGCTTAAGCAACGCCGGCTGTCAATGTCACCAGCTGTTCGCTATGCTTGGGCACAGTTGCTTCTATGTTGGAGGCCATCACTACTAGGTTGGAGGCCATGGCTAGTAGGTTGGAGGCCACCGCTATTTGGTTGGAGGCCATTGCTAGTAGGATTAAAGACATGTGTTTTCTTCATTTATTGGCAACTTTGCCACCAGGATGGACTGGCTGGTTGGTGCGATCGATCAATGCAGCTGTGTTTGGGCTTGGCACTGTGGAACGGCAAGGCGTTTGCAAGAATTTCGTCAAAGACCGGAATCCATAAAACATGGTTTCTTGATTCGTTTAATTTGTTTGCACACTTTCTTAACTTGGTGACTTTGCCACTGAACCACGGGTTGCTCCTTTTTGCTGTGTAATCGGAATTGAAAATGTTGGTTCACTTTGTTCACTTCGGCACTTCACTTCCGTTTGGTTCGCCTCTTCTCGGTAGACTGCCGTAGACAGCATTCCGTCAGGATCCGATTCTCAAGGACGCCTTTTCTCGTGAGGTCTTTTGATAAGAGAGGAAAGACAGTTACTAGGGGCTCCTGGCCTTACTACTAGGAACAAGAAGCTACTAGGGGCTCCAGGCATCGCTACTAGGAGCAAGAAGCTACTAGTAGCTCCTGGCGTTACTACTAGTAACAAGAAGCTACTACTCCATCATAACAAAGGAAAGAAAGAACAGTAGAGTTTGCCAGATGTAGCAAGACTTTGCATTTTGACTTGGGACATGCTACGAGCGCTTGGCTCAAGCTGAAGAGTTGACAAGGAAGTGAGAGTGTGTCATTCAAATCCGCATCTTGGAAATCTTTGGCTTAGTGATTTAGGCAGTCAGTGAGATTCTCAAGGCCCACTGAAAGGCAAAAAAGGGTGCAGTCTGTATACCGTGGCTCGTTTTATTACAAGTTCACAAGCAGAAAGACAAGTCGTGCCTAGTCTCCATGACAGAGTGGCAAGTGCTGTGGAATCAAGTCGCGGCACTGGTGCTGAATTTGAGGCCTCTTTTTTGCTGTGT